AAATACGGCTAATTTCCTTTTAAAGTCACATTACATTTGTGGCCATCACCATATCTTGCAGCTATGGAGTCCATAAATTAAATAAATGAGGTTTTTTTATGTCGAAGAGTAAGCAAAATCAGTGGCACAGGAGTAACACTAAACTCTGGATTCAATCCTCAACAATAAGAATGACTTGTGTACAAATTACCTTTTAGCAAAGGATGACCATCCACACTTCTTCCTAAGATAAGGAAGTTTGTGTTTGTGAGGGAAATGCACTTGTGATGGGAAAGGTGATTGAAGTCTTAGTTCTAGCTAACTTCAGATGCCAAGAGCCATGCCTGCCCCTTTTATTGCTGGAGAAGTAAGGCAAGGCGTCTCCTCTTTGGAGGAACAAGAGAAAAGTGTGAGTAGGGAGGGACACCAGAACCCTAAGAGTAACAAACTGAGGTTGAAGGAACGTCAGCATAGGTCAGAGAAGATGAAGGACAGTCTAGGAAACTTGCAGAGTCTCTCTCGTTCCTCTTCCTCATGCAAAAAAAATGCATGTTCTTGAGTATAAGCCAAGTTCAGCTGTAGGAAGAACTTTCTACGTACTTTGAGTCCTGAATCAAGAGAAAACTGGTTTTTAAATTGAGGATTCTACTTTCTCACCTCACCAATCCTCTATCGCAAATTTCCCGAATCTGCTGCCTTGCAAATGTGCAATAAGTCATTTTAGTCCCTCTTATTTTGAAACAAGGCAAAGATACACATCTCAAGGCTGGTCTATGGGGTTGAAGGTGGAGGCAACTCTGATGCCATGGAGGTGAGGAATCTGTCGTAATCTATTTTGGGGTAGAGCGTGGTGGCGCTGCAGGCTAAACCGCAGAAGCCTGTGCTGCAGGGTCAGAAGACCAAGCAGTCGTAAGATCGAATCCACGTGACGGAGTGAGCACCAGTCTTAATCTATTTTGGGGTAGAGTTCAGCTCCTTGGACAGCCTCTGTAAATTTAAAGTTAAAACTTGATTCATTGCCCTACACACACACACACACACACGGCATTGGAACTGCTAGCTTCTAATGGACCATGCCTAGCCAGCCAGCTCCTGCCTGCATCCTCAACTGAGGTGGAAGGTAAGGGCTCCAACTAGGTCTCCCCAACCCACATATGTGGAATGAATATTTCCTTGCCCTCCTATGTGGGTCCTTGGACAGCCTCTATAAATTTAAAGTTAAAACTTGATTCATCGCCCTACACACACACACACGGCATTTGAACTGCTAGCTTCTAATGGACCATGCCTAGCCAGCCAGCTCCTGCCTGCATCCTCAACTGAGGTGGAAGGTAAGGGCTCCAACTAGGTCTCCCCAACCCACATATGTGGAATGAATATTTCCTTGCCCTCCTATGTGTTTAGGAATACAGTGGTGCCTCGCAAGACTATGTTAATTCATTCCGCGAAGATCGCTGTCTTGCGAAAACATCATCTTGCAAAACGTAGTTCCCCATTGGAATGGACTGAAATCTATTTAATGCATTCCGAAGGGGGGGGGAACCGTTTTGCGAAGCATTGGTCTTAAAAAAAATATCTTGCAAAATGCTGTTCCCCATTGGAATGTATTGAAATCTATTTAATGTGTTTCAATGGGGGGGAACCGTCTTGCGAAGCATTGGTCTTAAAAAAAAATATCTTGCAAAATGCTGTTCCCCATTGGAATGTATTGAAATCTATTTAATGTGTTTCAATGGGGGGGAACCGTCTTGCGAAGCATTGGTCTTAAAAAAAAATATCTTGCAAAATGCTGTTCCCCATTGGAATGTATTGAAATCTATTTAATGTGTTTCAATGGGGGGGAACCGTCTTGCGAAGCATTGGTCTTAAAAAAAAATATCTTGCAAAATGCTGTTCCCCATTGGAATGTATTGAAATCTATTTAATGTGTTTCAATGGGGGGGAACCGTCTTGCGAAGCATCGGTCTAAAAAAAAAACACCATCTTGCGAAGCATAGACCCAAACATCGTCTTGTGAAAATCATCCATAGGAAAAACTGTCTTGCGAAGCGCAACAGCGATCGCAAAAACCCATCGTCTTGTAGATTAATCATCCCACGAGGCAATCGTCTTGTGAGGCACCACTGTATATACTTTTGGCTGGCTGTACCTACCTGTGCTGTGCTTTGTGCCCACTAACTCCAGTGGGTACCAGCCACCACTGGCTCCACTTGTTTTTTTCCACCGTTTCCAAAAATCACTCTAAATGTTTCCATACTGCCCTCTTATGTAGCCCAGATTGGGCTCTCAAGACTTGAAAATCCCATTGTGCAACATCACCTTCAAGGACTGGTTAAGAAACTGCCCACGGCTAAATCCACAGATTTGGCTGTAGGTCATTTCTTGACTGGCTCTTTAGAATTTTTTTTCAAGTGATGCACTGCATCAGCGATAGTCTACTAGAGTCTTAAAAGATTTTTCACTTCCCCTGCCTCTCTACCAAGATACTCTTAAAAGATTTTTTCACTTCCCCTGCCTCTCTACCAAGAAGCAGAGGAAGTTTTCAATTTGCTGGTATCCTGAAGTGGTTCACGTATTAAGTCACCTTGCGATATCAAAAAGAAGCAGACACTTGAGCACCGATATGCCATTTGGTTGTGTGGATCACACCAAATGGAATATCACATCTCCACTCGATCCCAAGGAACGCTCGTTAGCCCACTATCAGCCTGTTTCCAAACAACCAGTACAGATAAGCCCTTAATTCCACTTTCCATTATTATTGTTGGGCGGAGAAGTTCTGGAAGGTGTAGTAAAAAAAAAAATAAAGGAACTTATATTCCTTTTATCCTTTGTGTTGTGTAGAAAAAAAATATCTTGGGCCAACCATGGCTTTTTAAAACATCCTGGTGCAAAGACCTACTTATATATTTATTTTATTTTTAAAAAATATTTATATGCTGCATTTCTCCCACAGGATCTTTCTATTAAAAGAAACAAAGTTAAAAGCTAAATAATAAATTATTCCAATACCAAAAAAAAAAGTATTAAACAAGTATACTATTAAAACTCATAATATGAACAATATTAAAAGCACGAGTAAACACGACTGGTCACGCACTGCTCCCTTTTCCACACCAAGCC